AACCATTGGTAGCGTGACGAGAGGAGGCTCTTGGGTATATGTAATGATAGTATCAAGTAATAGGGAAGAAATAACGGTAGATACTGTAGGTAAATAATAGACACAATATACAAATACAATATTTATTTAAACATTAATATGGAGGTAGGAGACAGAATATATGTACCAACAGACGAAATCTGGTACTATGCCCTCAGGCTCAACATACTCACACCACTACTGGGTGGACATACTCAATAACACTCACACCACTACTGGGTGGACATACTCAATAACACTCACACCACTACTGGGTGGACATACTCAATAACACTCACACCTCTACTGGGTGGACATACTCAATAACACTCACACCACTACTGGGTGGACATACTCAATAACACTCACACCACTACTGGGTGGACATACTCAATAACACTCACGCCACTACTGGGTGGACATACTCAATAACACTCACACCACTACTGGGTGGACATACTCAATAACACTCACACCAGTACTGGGTGGACATACTCAATCACACTCACACCACTACTGGGTGGACATACTCAATAACACTCACACCACTACTGGGTGGACATACTCAATAACACTCACACCCCTACTGGGTGGACATACTCAATAACACTCACACCACTACTGGGTGGACATACTCAATAACACTCACACCAGTACTGGGTGGACATACTCAATAACACTCACACCACTACTGGGTGGACATACTCAATAACACTCCACACTACTGGGTGGGACACTCAATAACACTCACACACCACTACTGGGTGGACATACTCCAACCAACACTCCCACCTACTGGGTGGACATGCTCAATAACACTCACACCACTACTGGGTGGACATGCTCAATAACACTCACACCACCACACTGGGTGGACATACTCAATAACCTCCCACCACCACTACTGGGTGGACATGCTCAATAACACTCACACCACCTACTGGGTGGACGCCTCCAATAACACTCACACCACTACTGGGTGGACATACTCAATAACACTCACACCACTACTGGGTGCACATACTCAATAACACTCACACCAGTACTGGGTGGACATACTCAATAACACTCACACCACTACTGCTTGGACATACTCAATAACACTCACACCACTACTGGGTGGACATACTCAATAACACTCACACCACTACTGGGTGGACATACTCAATAACGCTCACACCACTACTGGGTGGACATACTCAATAACACTCACACCACTACTGGGTGCACATACTCAATAACACTCACACCAGTACTGGATGGACATACTCAATAACACTCACACCACTACTGGGTGGACATACTCAATAACACTCACACCACTACTGGGTGGACATACTCAATAACACTCACACCACTACTGGGTGGACATACTCAATAACACTCCCACCACTACTGGGTGGACACACTCAATAACACTCACACCACTACTGGGTGGACATACTCAATAACACTCCCACCACTACTGGGTGGACATACTCAATAACACTCACACCACTACTGGGTGGACACACTCAATAACACTCACACCACTACTGGGTGGACATACTCAATAACACTCCCACCACTACTGGGTGGACATACTCAATAACACTCCCACCACTACTGGGTGGACATACTCAATAACACTCACACCACCTACTGGGTGGACATACTCAATAACACTCACACCACTACTGGGTGGACATACTCAATAACACTCACACCACTACTGGGTGGACATACTCAATAACACTCACACCACTACTGGGTGGACATACTCAATAACACTCACACCACTACTGGGTGGACATACTCAATAACACTCACACCACTACTGGGTGGACATACTCAATAACACTCACACCACTACTGGGTGAACATACTCAATAACACTCACACCACTACTGGGTGGACATACTCAATAACACTCACACCACTACTGGTGGAACATACTCAATAACACTCCACACACCACTACTGGGTGGACATACTCAATAACACTCTCACATCACTTCTGGGTGGACATACTCAACTCACGCCACTGGGTGGACATACACAATAACACTCACCACTACTGGGTGGACATACTCCAATAACACTCACACACACCACTACTGGGTGGACATACTCAATAACACTCACACACCACTACTGGTGAGACATGCTCAATAACACTCCCACCACTACTGGGTGGACATACTCAACAACACTCACACCACTACTGGTGGACACTCAACACTCACACCACTACTGGGTGGACATACTCAATAACACTCACGCCACCTCAACTAACACTCACACCACTACTGGGTGGACATACTCAATAACACTCACACCAGTACTGGGTGGACATACTCAATAACACTCACACCACTACTGGGTGGACATACTCAATAACACTCACACCACTACTGGGTGGACATACTCAATAACACTCACACCACTACTGGGTGGACTACTCAATAACACTCACACCACACTGTGGACATATAATAACACTCCACCACTACTGGTGGACCACTCACACCACTGGCAGACATGCTCATAACACTCCCACCAATTACAGGTGACATGCTCAATAACACTCACACCACTACTGGGTGGACATACTCAATAACACTCACACCACTACTGGGTGGACATACTCAATAACACTCACACCACTACTGGGTGGACATACTCAATAACACTCACACCACTACTGGGTGGACATACTCTATAACACTCACACCACTACTGGGTGGACATGCTCAATAACACTCACACCACTACTGGGTGGACATCCTCAATAACACTCACACCACTACTGGGTGGACATACTCAATAACACTCACACCACTACTGGGTGGACATACTCAATAACACCCACACCACTACTGGGTGGACATACTCAATAACACTCACACCACTACTGGGTGGACATACTCAATAACACTCACATCACTACTGGGTGGACATACTCAATAACACTCACACCACTACCGGGTGGACATACTCAATAACACTCACACCACTACTGGGTGGACATACTCAATAATACTCACACCACTACTGGGTGGACATACTCAATAACACTCACACTAGTACTGGGTGGACATACTCAATAACACACAACTCTTACAGTAACTTAGCACCATTAAGACCAGGGGCAACTGCCACTACAACACTCATTCGTCAGGAGTGATACTCAAGCACCCGCTATGGGGTCCCGCCACCATGGGGTACTTTCCACCTAACTCTTGAAGATCCCAGTGGAATAACACCACCACACAAATAGCCGTACTGAGCTAGACACTCATCCACCAATGATCGGGGCTGGTAGTTTTGTGTGGCTTGGTGATCCGGGGTCACCTCGCGGGCCGAGCGTTGGGGTCAGACGGGCCAGCTATAGGGCCCATAGGTAGTACTGATGCTTCTGACGGTCGGGCCTCACGAAGATAAATGATCCTACTGGACCTCGGACATCTCTCCAGACTAGTGGATACAACATCCACGCTACAGACACGGCCTAGGCTGCGTTAGGGACCTGTATGGGTGAAGGAACGAGCACTTACTAACTGTGACAACGATATCACGTTTCAGGGGACGTTAAAGACGTAAACATTACTTCACTCAAAGCATATCAACTACGTTACTGTAACACTTGCACAATCAACTATCAATTGGGTCAAATCACTTAAAGAAGGGCGAATTACAACACGGAGTGGAATGACCTACCTGTGTGAGTGAAGGGACGAGCACTTACTAACGGTTGAAATGCCCGCGGCGCCCTCACTCAAACTAGGTCAGCGATTCCACCTACTTCTATTTCGATGAATTACTTTACTGTACCCGCTGACGTTGAAACTGAGACTACGAACTCAGTTTCATTCCCTACTATTATCTTCACAAACAATGCTCTGATTCAGCTATCAAAAGCAAGAATCAAATTGATTACAAAGGGTTGGACGGCAACAGGTCCCAACATACAGCGTCTTGCTACGAAACCCGCGGAGTAGATTCAAAGTTCCCTTCCGACAAAGGCGGCCTCTCTATGACGTCAACAAGGAAACAGAGAAAACGGAGGACGTTTCCACTGGGGGACTCAGAAGGTTTTGTGGACGTTTAAGCGTAATATGAATCCTTAGGGTTTTTAGGTAAGCCGTCATCACGATCATGACACTTCCACCTTCTCAAAGAAAGATTTCTGTGCTCTCAGGGTCTACTCATTATGTCGGTTGCTGGTGGTGGTTCCATCTTTTGCACCTGACGCAGCTTCATATCCAGCAACAAGACGACTCACTTCAGGTCCAGCCACCATCCACCTACGAAGTGCTGCTGGGTCCTCAGTCAACCCAATTGCTGCTCCATCGCCTTTAATCACTGCATTGTTTTGTTCATGGGCTTGATCAATAGCAATGGCAGAGAACTCTCTTCCTGACTTGTGGACAACAAAGTTCCCCTTGTAGAACTCCCTCGCTACCTCTGGATGTTGTTGCTCAAGGCACATCATATCTTGAAGGTGAATTGGAAGCCATCGGGCATAATTAACATTGTTGTTCGCAAAGAAGTAGGGGATCAGCTCTGAGAGTGCTTCAAGGTAGAGTTTGAAATTGCCTTCCCTGAATGAGCGGATCAACATGAAGATGGTGAGCTCCATGTCCAGCACAAGGTTCCAGAATTGGATCTGTGAACTCTCAAGCCTCCGTTGTTTACACAAGTCTTCAAAGTTGACCTTTCTGACTCATCAGAGCAATAGTCCTAGTATGCCTCCTTCATCAGTTTGTACAAGCTGCATGCTGTGACTTGATGTGCTAGTCTTGTCTTAGTTACACTTGATACAGACAGAAAAGACTCTGCTGTACCAGATGAAGCCACTCCTGCTTCAACAAGGGAACCGGTCCAACCACTGTCTTGTAGTGTCCCAGCATTTAAGACAGTAAGCTGTTGCAGTATGACATGCCTTTTCTCAGCTGACACTGAACCCCATGCTGGGTTGCACAGCAGTGATGTCACCAGTGTGCCCTGGTAGTGCCCGACAATCACTCCCTCACATGCAGAGACCCTCTGCATGCTACCCTCACCTAGTTGGAAAAAACATAAAACCAGTACATAAAACCAGTCATAAATAAGACAAATATATATCTGAGAGTATCAGAAATAGAAAGCATCATCTGAGCATGCTTGAAAACATACATATCGACACTAAGATCATTTAGATTGACCAACTACATCAATTTCTATAAACAAAAATCATCTTTCCAAGGTCAATTTGGCAGCCATCTTGAAAAATGGCAGCCATCTTGGCTTTCCAAATGGCCAATCAGGCAGATTTGATTGATTTTGATTTTGATTTTGCCGCTTACAGAGGCTACTTTATTGTGCACCCCACACTCATCCTGTGAGTTGTAGCGCAAAAGGATTACAGAGTACAGTTTACAACGGGTCATAATAATTAACCCCCGTTGTCAGGATATTATGGCACTGAATGTTACACAGTATATCAATTACAATATTTGTTTAGTTCTACACATAAAGGGTAACTTATTCACAACTGCGTGAGTACCGGCGTGTGAGGCAGTATGTCTGGCCTCACGCTTTGTTATTCACATTTGCGTGAGAAGTATTCAAGCACATTGTGTATTTGGTTCTGTACATGAGAACTGATATAATTACTAAGTGCAAAAAAGTGGATACAATCTTAATATGTCGGCTATCTTGCCATTAGAGATGAAGTGTTGTGCCATTTCACACACAGTGTGCTTGGACCTGTCCCTAAAAGGTTCTATCTTCACACAGTCGAGGACGTAGTGTTCAAGTGTGTGGCCATATGTCTGGCCATACACTTTACATTTAGTCTTGTTTACATCTGCTTGAGGAACATACTGCCAGAGGTACTTATATCCTAACCTTAATCTAGCAGTTACAACATCTTGTAATCTAGTGATCTTGTTACTTGTTCCATATACATGTTTCACTTGATACATCTCATCATGGTTACCTATGGATCGACTAGTGCCTGTTTGCACTAGTCTACTTGCGTCAAACTCATCAATAAGGTCTTTCCTAATTACAGTTTTAAGGGTTCTTTTTGACAGACCCAAATTGTATTCAACGGTGTCTTTGTTAGACGTGAGTTTGGCGAGGGCATCAACTCTGTCATGTTTTATGACGCCTATGTGAGAGGGGATCCACAACAGTTTGACCTTGACACCCCGGTCAACAAGGCACGCATATGTCTGTCTGGCTTCAGAGACAAGAGCGTGACAACTTGAGTCGAGGGTACCAAGGGCAAGTAGTGAGGATAGAGAGTCAGTGATGATGAGACTGTCAGTAACAGTGGTTTCAATGAATATAATAGCTGTGAGTATGGCAACTAATTCAGTTTGTAGAGTGGATGCCCAGTTGTTAATTCTAACTCCTTTCTCAATTATATTACCGTCAGGTTGAGTCACAACAATAGCACTTCCAGCCCTCCCACAGACGGTGTTAAGAGATCCATCAGTATAGATGGTCTGTGTGATGTTATCATCAGTCTGTAGTGTGTGTATGTGTTCAAGAGCTCTCACTTTGGCAGTGTGTTGGAGATAAATGCTTTGTGTAATTAATTTTTTAGGCGGATATATCGGTATTGTGATATCGAAGGGAACTGTCCGCCAAGGTGGCAGGGAGCGCTGTTGTGTCTCAACTTTGTACAGGTGGTCTCGTCCAAACATCTTCATATGTGTAGCTGTAGTTTGGATCCATTTAGACTCGCCAGTCCCATGGTTCATACATTCTAGCAATTTTAAGGAAACAATGTTATCAGGATCACCACGCAGAAGCCTCAGGGCTATCATGAGGTTGACTTCAATTATTCTATCTTTAACACTGGGTATACCTGGTTATTTCCTCATATTAAGTACTTTAGTGCTCATGGGACATCCTAGGATAATTCTGAGGGCTTTATTTTGCATTTTATCGAACTTGTCAACGCCTTTCCCGTCACGAAGGACCAGGGCTGGTGCGTGGTAATCTATCAGAGATCTTATATAGCCTAGGTACATTGTTTTAACAATTCTAATATTAGCACCATAGTGTGGGCTGTAACACGCTACACTTCTAAGAGGTCTCAGTCTGTCAGTACATTGGCGGGTTAGCTGTTGTATGGCAGGTAGGGTACAAGGGACGGAGACACCAAGATATTTAAAAGAAGAAACAAAGTCGATAGTGTAGTTATCTATCTTAAACTTGGCGGGGCCGCGTTTGCGGTTACCAGCTTGTTTGTTGAACACCTTAGTTTTCTCAGTGGAGATAATAAGACCGAGGTTCTCACAGGCTGTGTATACATGGTTCAGGGTGGTTTGCATTTCATGATGAGTTTTAGTATGTATAAGAATATCATCAGCATAGCTGATTGAGATATTGCTGGTATTAAATTTAATAATGCATTCATAAGAACATTGAACAAAGTGGAGCTAAGCACTCCACCTTGAGGGGTACCAAGTTGCATATCTTTAACTTCACTTTTGTAACCCTGAAACAGTGCAGCAGCCCTTCTGTTGGTTAGGTAGCCACTTATACAGTGTAACAGCCTAACTCCTATATCCATTTTGGCTAGTTCGTACGATATCAGTTGCCTATTGGCAATATCATATGCAGCTTTTAGGTCAAGAAATGTGTTGTATCTGTGCCTTTCATAACCATGCACAGTTAGGAATGTGGTGATGCAATTATGGACACTTTTACCATGGGTGAAGCCATTTATGTTAGGAGACAAGTGTTCTCTGATTCTATATAAGAGTCTGCCAAGAACCATCCTCTCAAAGGTATTACACAGGCAGCTGGTTAGTGATATGGGACGAAAAGCATCAGGTTGTCCTGGTTTCGGTATTGGTGTCATGGTCGTGATGACGGCTAACCTGAAAACCTTAAGGATTCATATTACGCTCAAACGTCCACAAAACCTTCTGAGTCCCCCAGTGGAAACGTCCCCCGTTTTCTCTGTTTCCCCCGGCTTTGTCTTATGGGAACTTGGAATATAATCCGCGGATTTAGTAGCAGACGCTGTATGCTGGGACCTGTTGCCATCCAACCCTTTGTAATCAATTTAATTTTGCTTTTGATAGCTGAGTCAGAGCATTGTTAGTGAAGATAATAGTAGAGAATGAAAATGAGTTCATAGTCTCAGTTTCAACGTCAGAGTGTACCGTAAATTAATTTATCGGAATAGAAGTAGGTGGACTCCCTGGTCTGTTTTGAGTGAGGGCCCCGCGGGCATTTCTACCATTAGTGAGTGCCCGTCCCTTCATCCATACAGGTATGCCATTCCACTCTGTGTTGTAATTCGCCCTTCTTTAAGTGATTTGACCCAATTAATAGTTGATTGTGCAAGTGTTACAGTAACGTAGTTGATATGCTCTGAGTGAAGTCATATTTACGTCTTTAACGTCCCCTGAAACGTGATGTTGTTGTCACTGTTAGTGAGTGCCCGTCCCTTCATCCATACAGGTATGCCATTCCACGCTGTGTTGTAATTCGCCCTTCTTTAAGTGATTTGACCCAATTAATAGTTGATTGTGCAAGTGTTACAGTAACGTAGTTGATATGCTCTGAGTGAAGTCATATTTACGTCTTTAACGTCCCCTGAAACGTGATGTTGTTGTCACTGTCAGTGAGTGCCCGTCCCTTCATCCATACAGATCCCATGGTGATTCTTGAATCGCTCTACCATCCAACAACGGCCTCGGATGTATTACTGTAGATGTCCAGCTGGGATCATATATGAGAAGATGGCACCGATGCGGCCTGATTACTGTGCCCCACGGCTTCGTTGGCCAGACCCCAGACCCGCCATGTGTCTGGCTACCCCACAATAACAACAGCCCCAGTGCTCTACCCTGGGTTACTCCTTGGAAGTATATGTCCACAGAGAGTGTTGTAACATGTATGTTAGGGATAATTAGTTGGAAATAATTATCCCATGTTGGGTAGTGGACCCCTGCATATACTAGCGTCATTGTTTACGTATATGTTGAATAATCTACCATGAGTGCCATGTAATGTACCACCAGTAATGTTGTGAGTAAGAGTAAAGAAGAAGGTACTGAGTTTGCACTAAGCCCAGGAGGTGAACCTGGTAATCATATGATTAATACAAAATCTTTCCCCATTGATTGCATATTAATAAACTTGTTTCTAGAGTAATTAAGGTGTATTCATTTCTCCCACAGTATTTTACCTTTATTTCCATCCAAGTGACCTGATACCAAAATTACCATACTCACGTGCCTAGACCCTCGACCATGCTACCAAAAGAATGCCCATGCTACCAACAGAATGACCATGCTACCAAAAGAATGACCATGCTACCAAAAGAATGCCCAGGCTACCAAAAGAATGACCATGCTACCAAAAGAATGACCATGCTACCTAAGAATAGGTGACGGAACTGAGTAAGAGTAAGAACTAAGAGAAGTAAATAGTATGAGGGTGGTGTAGAAAAGGAGAGGGAACCGGCCCCCTCACATTGGTGGCAAGACCAAGAATCCGCCCCCTCACATTGGTACAACAATACTGCTGGTCCATGATGTGGGTAGCTGGCCCTCGGCATGACTCATATTGTACAATGCCAACAATGGATTGCCCGGCAGACGCCTTAGTAGTCTAACGATGTTGTAGGTGACTCCGTTTTCTCCAGGGAAAGTTGACCTACCCCTGGCGAGGGCCGCGTCAAGCTCCAACTCAGTATATGGAACATCACACTCATAGTGCTGTTTGCCCAGCATAAAGTTAATAAGATTACTTCTCTCTACAGACTTCGCATCAAGGAGTCCCCGAGTCGTAGCTGGTAACATGTCACAGCTCGACACATGAGCCCATTTTGCTATTAGCTCATTCGACTTTTGCAGAGGGTTTGGATGGGAGACGTGTCTACTGTTTTTACCTCTGATTGTGTTTATGACTTTCCAGGCTTTGCTGAGGGATGCGTGTTGGTTCAGGCTGTTGACATATGTCTCCCATGCATTTTGTCTGAGTTCGTTTACACCAGGGGTGGGCAATTATTTTGACTGGCGGGCCACTTCATGAATTTTGGTACACGCCGCGGGCCAGAGACTTAATATAGATGCAAATGCATTGTATTTACACAAAATAAAGCCCTGCATTTATATATATAGGATGTAAGTAAAATATTAAGTAGCATACATAGATATTTTGGGGAAATAAATACGTCACTTCTTAGCTTGTATCTTTTATTATTGATAATAATGCTAATACAAATACCAATATTAATACTACTAATAATAATATAGAGTTATGGTGCAGTAAATTTGGTATTTTAAGTGCATTAACGTAACTGTCGTAACAGAAGAGAATCGATATTATAAGTTGAAATAATTAGTCTCTTGAGACGTTGTCTTTACTCTTCCCTAGGGAGGTGGTGGTAGGGTTGAGTTGGTCAGGTCTGATCACAGCTATCCTGTTTCGTCTGGCTTCCCTAGGGAGGTGGTGGTTGGGTGGAGTCATGTCAAATTGTAGCTGCTCCTGATCGGCTGATCTATGATGTCACTGCTGCAGACTGCTTGAAAAATGTATTTAATACAGTTTAATATTTATTGTTGCTTCTTCATAAATTAAGGATAATATAATTAAGTTTTAATGGTTGAAAATAAGGAAAAAGCAAGTCAAAGCACCAATATGTAATTTATTAAAATATTTTAAAGTATGTTCATATGTCATATTATATTCTGAAATTGTTTAGTATCTTGATAAGAATATTTAACTTACTCAGTGGGACGAATGACAGCGCTGATGATTGCTGACCAGACCATTGAAGTCAGGTGTTGCCTCCGTTGTTGCAATGAAAAGTACTTGTTCAAGGTGATCATCAGTCATTGCAGATCTAAGTTTTGATTTATTCAGCTTCATTATCGAAAATGTCTGCTCACATATGTATGTAGATCTAAACAGCACAAGCATTCTTTGAGCATGAGCCTTTAGTTTTGGAAATGCACAGTCATTAAGAGAGGCATAGAATTTGGGAAGAGTCACTGTTTTCATCTGCTCAGAAAGCAAAGGATCACATTGCATGTCAATAAGCTCGAGTTGTAGGTCATTTTCAATTAATTTGAAATCATGGAATCTGCGTGAAAATTCGGCATGCAAGTCAAGTAGCTGCAATGAGTACTTCTGTACATTTTGATCACAAACTTCAATCTGTTGTAAGGTTGCAAAGTGAGCAAATTGTTTTTTCGTAATCTGACGAGACAAAAGAAGTTATTTCTTCATGAAAGTTTTGACACTGCTGTACAAATCATGTGCAAAAGCCCCCTTCCCTTGTAGCTTTGAATTCAGGTCATTCATATGACCCATGATATCAACAGCAAATGCAAAATCAGAGAGCCATTTCTCATCATTCAACTGTGGGAAATCTATAGCATTCTGTTTCATGTCCAAAAATAAGCCACTCTCTTCTTTCAATTCCCAAACTCTTTTCAGGATTTTTCCCAAACTAAGCCACCTCACATTTGTGTGATACAGAACATCCGTATGATCAGATTCCAAGTCTTCAAGCAGGGTTATAAACTGCCTGTGATTTAATCCTCTTGCTCGAATGTAATTAACCACTTTCACAACTGTGTCAACGACATGGCTTAAATTTAAAACACTCTTACAAAGGACTTCTTGATGAATAATGCAGTGCGAAAAGACAATATTTTGTTCTGCATTTGTTTCTCTGACTTGATCTTGAATTCTTTTTAGCAATCCAACATTTTTACCTGTCATATTTGGCCCTCCATCGGTGGTCACATTTACCAGTTTGTTCCATTCTACTCCTAATTTCAAAAGACAATTATTTACTGCCTCCAATAAATCTTCTCCAGTTGTTGTTCCTTTCAGTGACTGCATTGATACCATTTCTTCTGTGATCTCAAAATATTTGGTGATGCCTCGAATGAAAATTAACAACTGTGCTGTGTCTCTGACATGACAACTTTCATCAAGTGCCAGTGAATAGTATTCAAAAGTCCTTACTTTCTCTTTAAACTGCAGATACATGCTCTCAGCAATGTTCTCAACACGTCTTACAATTGTTCGCCTTGACAAACATACATTCTCAAATTGGTTTTTCTTGTCTGGACATAAAATAGAGGCAGAATCAATCATACATTCCTTTATAAATTCTCCTTCAGAGAATGGCTTGCTGTTTTTGGCAATCTTGTGAGCAATCACATAACTCACTTTTGTAATATCATCCTTGGATGCAAATTGTTTTCTGAAAATATTTTTCTGTTGTTGTAATTGAACAACAGTATGTCAAGGGAGGAAACTTAAACTTATTAGTGAACTATTTATTAGCCTTCAGTTCCAGTCAATCCACACAATGAAACAAAAAACTGACGGAAATTCTACATTTTTTTAACTATGATGAATGAATGCCTTGAGTATGGGCAGGGGGTGACAGCATGGGAAAGGTGTGGGAAAGCGTGGGTAGGCGTGGTATGGGTCGGAAAGCGTGGGTAGGCGTGGTATGGGTCGGAAAGCGTGGGTAGGCGTGGCGCGAACCTAACAGCATGGACAAACACATCACAAGTCCGGCAAATCAAGATAAGCATTCATAGAGCTACTGACATGGCAACACAAACACAAAACATACAATAAGAAACCAATATATACAAACACAATCATCAACAAACAAACAAACAAACAAACAAATTGCATATAAAATACGAGCAAAAACTATATAAAATAACTATTGACATTCATAAACATTACAAACACTGAGTCAGTCAACTGGATGCGACAGCCATTCAGACAACGAACAAAATTTACTCAAAAGTTATAAATACAACTTAAAAAACACTACAGCTGAATGTATGTATTGCATTTAATATATTTATTGTAATTTAAATCTATCTATTGTATCTTAAATCAATTTATTGTATTTTATTTAATATGAAGCCTAATCTATTTGTATAGTAATTAATTATTCTTACAATACATTAGGCTAAATTTTCGTTAGGTTAAATTAATTATTGGTTAATTTTGTGTTATTTATCATTGTACACTTTATAGACGTCAGAAACGAAATGACAAATAATTTAAGTTTTTAATATATACCGAAATATATCAATATTATTGGAATGTTTCGCTGATTATTACTAAATACTCTATTATATTCTTAAATACTGACGTCATATTGATCAACATACTAGTAATTTAATGTTGGTGCATCAGTTACTTCAGCTTAAGTCAACCAAACGTGAACAGACATTGAAAAATAAACAAAAAAATTACCCCCAGGGGGGTCCGACTAATTACCCAAATGTAGCCAAATGTAGCCGCAATGAAGTCAAATAATGGTCCTAGATGAATAAATCGGACTGCCAATCACTTCTCGACTAGTATTTGGTGTCACAAAGTCACAAAAAAGTGGTAAACTTAATTTAATCTGAGTTAATAGATCGATTGCATGTACCTAACCTAACCTAACCTCGACTAGTATTTGGTGTCACGAAGTCATAAAAATTTGGTAAACTTAATTTAATCTGAGTTAATAGATCAAGTGCATGTACCTAACCTAACCTAATCTAATCTATTCTATTCTAATCTAATCTAATCTAACCTAACCTAACCTAACCTAACACAACACAACTCAATTAAATTAAGTTTACCAATTTTTTTTACTTTATGACACCAAATAATAATCGAGAAGTGATTCACAGCCCGAATTACGCTTGTACGACCATCACTTGACTTCATTGCGGCTACATTTGGGTAATTAGTAGGACCGCCCCCCCCAGGTAGTTAATCGTAATGTCATTCACTATTTATTTTTATATATTTTTTTTTTATTATCACCGTTTTTGCCGATTGATATTGGTAATTAATTAGTTTCTCCTAAACTAAACTGTTCACAGGTAAGTAAATCGGTAGAAAATGTCAAATAATATAAGAAAATGCGTCACGACTTACCTCAGTGCGCCACCATGCGTCTGATGGCCCTTGAAACTGGAGCTGGCATTATTTAAACGACGTAATTATCCTTGTTCTAAGACACTAACACGTAAAGTCTCCTAGTTTGTTCAAAGTTCAACACGTAAAGTTTCTTTTTGGGAGAGAACAGCGACCATATCCATGATAAACACGTTAAAAATAGGTCACAGAAATGTAAATATGCACTTAGTATACGAGAGACTTTCGAGTTGCTGCTGACGTCTCTTTAACTCAGGTGTTGACGCTGGGAAGGTGTGAGGGGATACAGGCCTCGTACCTTTAACTAAATATTTATAATATACGCAATTAAATATATTTTAAGCACTAAATAATGTTTAATATTTTACAGTAAATTTTATTATACATATATATATATATATATATATATATATATATATATATATATATATATATATATATATATATATATATATATATATATATATATATATATATATATATTGTACGTTTTAAAGCTATTTTATCAGCTATTATATGATGATTTAGATAATAATGGTGATTACATTAGGTATGTTATTACCCTAACAACAGTCGATTTTGTCCTTTGCAATACTAATTTATTTTAAATAATTATTTGATCTTAATTATAAAATTATTTGTTATATTCTTAGATATGTAGTTTAGAAAAATTATCACGCCATTCGTATATAAAATATTCGAATATCGCAACCTCGTTGATTAATTGCCTATAATATATGCATTTGTTATATTTAGACAGTAATATTAAAATTTGAGATATTTTCTGATATATAAACTAAATATTTCATTGCACATTTAATTATTTATTATTAGAGTTAAGATATTCGTATCCCTTATGTCTTGGATACAGTGAGTCAGTGACGTCACCCAGCAGCAACACCAAAATGGCGACGGTGTTGTGTTGCTGGTCGTTAGTTCACAATATTAGGTTAGATTCTCTGAAAAATAAGTGCTTAAGCCATTTTGAAAAGTCGTTTGAATTATTAAATCATGAGGATGTCTCAGGAAAAATTAATTATACGTTAAATGAAGAGGAAAGATAGTTAAAGACCGGGCTACCTGAGATGCACTTGGCCACAGTGACAGGTGCTTAAGACAGCGCTCAAATGTTTAAATGACTTGAAACTTTAAAGGTTTATATATATATTGAGTTTATTTAATAAATTTATGACAAAATACTCGACTTATTATAACAACAGAATTATAAAAGTTCAAAAAATTTATGTTTACTTTCATTAACTTTCAAAATATATAAATTTAGTTAGTTTTAGTTAAGATTTTCGTTTAATTAAGATATTTAACGAGTTAATTTGACTAATTAATTTATAAATGGGATTAATAATTTTTGTTAATCTGTTTAGGTAGAGCAGTTGTGTGTGACGGGCGGCTGTAATTAGCTACTTTCCTCTCTCATGCTATTTCCCTCTCTCAAACTACTTACATCTCTCCTACTACTTTCTTATTTCATTTCATCTCCCACGCTACTTTCCTCTCTCATGATACTTTCCTCTCTCACGCTACTTCCCTCTTCCATGCTACTTACCTCTCGTGTTACTTTCCTCTCTCATGATACTTCCCTCTCTCACGCTACTTCCCTCTTCCATGCTACTTACCTCTCGTGTTACTTTCCTCTCTCATGATACTTCCCTCTATCACGCTACTTCCCTCTTCCATGCTACTTACCTCTCGTGTTACTTTCCTC